AATATTGAATCATGCACCCCAAATTAATGAAATGCCAACAGGGCCAATCTGAAATCTGTACTGTACTCAATATGTTCATTTTGAGAACATATGATTATGACATCCAGTACGTTTTCTATACCTCCTAGTTCATTATATGTACAAGGTTATGTTGAATTTGGGAAGTTGAAGTCTAGACATCTTTAAGTTAAGTTCTGCTTTCTATGAGTGCATTACTTGGGATGCTGACAGATAAGTTTGAGAAATACTGCTTTAGAGCAGTATTTACTGTGTGGTAAAAGTTCTAGCAAGCAGCTAAAGAACTTTGGCATTTGGTGAAAGGACAACGGCTTACATTACAGATGGTTTAGTAACTTAAACTACATACTAACATTTAAAGGCAGTTGAAAAGAGTATCATCTTATATAGACTGTTTTGGACATTGGATAATGGAAATAGTTCACTCATATTTCATACTCCTGTCATTGTAAAACATTAACTATGATGCTCAGATAATTACTTTCTTCATTAAGCCTGACTGTAATCCAGATGATTGTACACAGAAAGGCTACTTCTAACAGAGAGGTATCAAATATATATTACATTATAAAGGGCAGTTTTTCAGAAAATCTGAGACCAGGTTTGATTTTGGTCTCTTATGTAAATATACTAATATATGCTAATTGTGATTTATTCAATTAAATTTATTCACCAAATGGAAAGATAAAACATGATACTACATCATAGTGCTTTACAGAGTTGTGGGTGGCACAGTGGTTAGAATGAAGTATTGCAGGCTAATTCTGCTGACTGCTGATTGCCAGCAGTTCGGCAGATTGAATCTCACCAGGCTCAAGGTTGACTCAGCCTTCTATCCTTTTGAGGTCAGTAAAATGAGGATCCAGATTGTTGTGGTCAGTACGCTGACTTTGTAAACCACTTAGAGAGTAAAGCACTGTAAAGTGGTATATAAGTCTAAGTACTTTTGCTATTGCTACAGCACTGTCTAAGCAGTTTACAAAGTCAGCATATTCCCCCAACAATCTTGGTCCTTGGAAAGATAGAAGGCTGAATCAAACTTGACTTGGTCAGGATCGAACTCCTGGCAGTGAACAGAATCAGCCTGCAATACTGCATTTTAATCACTGTGCCACCACGGCTCTTCTATGATATGTGAGTCCAGTCATTGGTTGTACTCATATTTCAAGTTTAACCATGAATAGTGGTTAGTACAAATACACTTCATCACAATCTCCTCCTCTTCTTGCTAGCCATTCATGCAGCAGCATTTTTGAGTGGCGTAAACCAGAGGGCTTAAGCATGAGCAAATTTCAACAAACATGGTAACAATAACTGGAGATGGGAAAATCCATGATTCTTGCATTTGGATGACATGCTTGATATATCATAGATGAATGGTAAACATACTATTCTGGAGAAGGGACCAATGGTGTATCTAGCCTCTGTCTTATGGCTAAGCATGGCATGTGAATGTTCACATGATCTATCCTAGCTTAGTCTCTCATGCAAACATCTTGATACGGGATTCAAGTGCCATTTTGAGTGATAGTAACACAATGGACCTGCTGCGGTGGGAAAGGCATGACTTCTGCAAATTTGTTTTTATTAAAGAATAGCAACATCCACAAAGGGACTGCAGAGTTATGCTATATCATCTTCCCTACAAAGATTTATTTAACCATTTTTATAACTTGCCCCAGTCCTGAAAAGGGTGGGTGGGTGGATTTGTAAATATAGAAATCCTTGAAGAAAAATATAAAAATTCAAGAAATTCATTAGTCACAGGTGCCATTATTTATTTATGCACTGAGATTGAAAGCCAAATGAAATATATTTGCTTTAGGGGCTAATATATACCTTCTGTGAGAGAGGGCACCAAATTATGGGGTTTATTGCAATGAAGCCTTGCTGCCTCATCCACACCTTGCTCCCCTTGTACTATTTTTACACCAGAGAGGCAGGTTTTCCTTGCAGGCTGAACCTTCTGGATTCCCAACATCTTCAAGGACATTCCTGATCAATTCTGCAGAAGAACTAATTCCACATAATTGTTAATGCATGTAAATGATGTGACTGTCCTCTCTTCATAAGACTATGAAGAATTATGCTTTTGGTAAGGGAGCTGCTGAGTGTTGCCAAAGATAAATATGCACTATATATGTAATCCCCATTGTACAATTAACATTCTTGTAGTTTATAGCTACAATTAAAATCCACAAGATCCTTCATTTTACAGTACTAAAGGAATGCAAATATGGATTCATTGAAGCAACTACTAACTATTATTTTGCATGGGCAAAACCAGATTTGTATATTCTAGAATGGATTCGGAGTCAACCAATAGAAAACACAGTGACTCTTAATTAGTTACAACTTATTACAATCCCATTTATTTCATGGACATAATGGGAGTATGCCTTGGTTGTGCAGACAAGTGAAATATGACTGGGCCTGGTTAGTACTTGGATGGGAAGCCTCAAGACATTTCTGGGCACTAGACTAGTCAGAGAAGTTGGAAAAATAACATCCCAGAAGAAAATAGTACTGTAAATTTGCTTCCTTATAGTCAGGGGTAAGATGAACTCATAGGTGTGTTTAAATTTTTATTGTGAGCAAGGTTGAATTTGGTGCTTGAATGTTTCTCACTGCAATACAATGCCACTGAGGTTTTATCAATGTGGAAAAGCTCTGGAGACATAGTACAAAAAGGATGAATAGTTTCATCTAGAGCAGGGCTGCCAAACTCCCGGCCCGTGGGCTGGATGTGTCATGCACTGGCCATGCCTGGTTTAGCAAAGGGGAAAAAAATCCCAATACATCATGTGACGCCACCATGATGATGTGAGTTTGACACCCCTGATCTAGAGTAACAAGATCTTGGCAGCAAAAATTGATGATTACTAGACGAAAGCACCAAGTGTCTCTCTGCTAATATCTTATAGCAATCTAGATATTTGTGGTCCAAATCTTGTAGCCTCTCCTTGAGCTTCAGGTCTCTAGCCAGGCAGATTTCTTTAGGCAGAGAAAATGTTGTCTCTTATCTATTTCAACTTGATAAACCCCTAGATTTTCATTAATGCATCTCCATCATTCTTGTTGGGGCAAAATAAGCTGTATTTGTCCTGGAGCAATGCTATTACGTTCTAGAAGGTCATTGTATAAAGAACTGCTGGAAGATAGAAAGTCTGGATCCACATTAATATGTTAACTCAGTCACCATGAAGAAGGGCAAGTGGGAGCCATAGCCATACTTAGAGGGCCCACAGGGATGGGATCGAAAAAATAAAGATGGTAGTCATGAGAATGAAGCCCTGCCATATATTTTTTTTACAATAGATGCATGTTTGATGTGTGCAACTAAGGGTGAGATTTTGACAATGTGGCCCCGGCTACCATCTTGAATTTCTTGACAAACCTCTGCAAACACTCTAATCTCTATATAAGAAGGAAATAAAGGGCAAATTTCTATATAGGAAATAGGCAGAAAGTAAACATCTGAAGTGGTACTGTTCTGTCTGCCGATTGACTTTGCCACCTGCTGAACAATCATGTTTTAAAATTCAGATTCATAACACAATATGGAAGATTTCAGGATTTCCAGGACAAATCTGGCCTGTGACATTTTGAACCGGGATGAAACAGCAGATGATCCGTCCCCACCTGCCCCTCTCAGATGTGGTGTTTTCTCAAAGTAAACCAAATTATTTTAGAACAAGAGGTGGAAGAATAAAAAAAATTCTCTCTATACCTGGCATTAAAAATACAATACTAAGAAATCAAATAACAATTTGCTGTGCTTTTGTGGAATCCAACATCTCTTGTCTGACTAAGCAAGGCCAGCCCTGCTCTAGGCATGTTGATAAATAAAAATTGGGTAGATTTAGAAAACAGAAAGTCTTGTGTTAGAGTAGAAGTTAGGCGTTCCAAAATATCCCCAAATTGGAATCAACCCAGGAATTAGAATCCCCTTCATTTTAAACAATGCTAAATTGAGCTTTGAATATTTAGCTCAACTCCCATTATCATCCTTCAGCATTAGCCAAACTGTCTAAAATGGTGTGTAGAGTGGAAGTTGTACAACATCTAAAGGAAGACATATTTTCTACTTAACACCATGGCTTGACAAAGCTCTTTAGCTGTTTTTGCCAGGACCTTTTCTTCACAGTTTTTCTTGGAGCTAAATGTGAAGCTCCTTTGAGCCAAACTCTGAGAAAGTTCCCCATTTGCTATTGGATGAACAAGGGGCAGCTGCTCAAAATGTCATCCTGGCCAAACTCAAGCTTCTGCCTGGAATTGGGCAAGATTACTACAGTATCCCTTTCTTTCTTCTATATTTAAAAGGGTGGCGCTCAAACCAAAGAAGTTGCCAGCCTATAGTAAAGCAGAAAATATAGGTCAGGGACAGCCAGCCCTTCAAGGTATGTAAGATCACAAAGCTGGATTCACCAGAAGCTCTGGAATGTTCTTTAAGGAGCTTAGGGCATGGTAACAAAATCTTCAAAGTCCATTAAAGCCTCTCCCTACTTCAACTTATATCTAATCCAGTCAAGATGGACTTGTTTTGAGTTTCTTCCTCATTCTTTCTACTTTCTCAGGATTCAGATATCTTTTCTGTAGTGGTTCAACATTGCCTTCCTTCCCTGAATCAAACCCACATTCCATCAAGTTTGGCAATAAATGCCTTGACAGTTTCCTGCATAGACTACCTTGCTCACACCGTTGACTTCTATGAGATTATTTGACCCACAAATGATGGGATTTAGAGCCATTCATTAATTGTCTCTTCATACTATATTCAGCAGTGACTCAGTCACAATTAGTTACCTATAGTTAATTGTGCCTTTACTCCACAAGGGTAATTTGTTTGTTTGGGTAGAAGTTGCACTCTTGCTGCTTTGAAGATCCAGAGGAATTGTGCGGTAGGTCTATTTCGAGCATTCAAGTCACATGGGTCAGGAATCTTTTACAAATCCATGCTTGGTCTGCCACCAGCTGCTCCTCCTTAAAATAAAACTACCGGGCAAACAGTAGGGATCAGGAGGGGAAGAGAAGAACTACTAGATTCTAACCAAGAAAACCGGCCCTGCTTTCCAACCAACATGACGGATCAAAGCCCCTTTGAAACAGATATGCTAACCCTGAACCGATATGTCATGGAGAAAGGACGACGGGTGAAAGGGGCAACGGGAGAATTGACCCAGCTTTTGAACTCAACACTCACTGCCATCAAGGCCATCTCATCAGCAGTCCGAAAGGCAGGTCTTGCTCATATGTGAGTAGCATAGAAAAAGGGAGAAGTGGGTCTATATTAGAGTGTCTTAGATGAGATCTGGGGAAGGAGGCCTATTTCTTATAATACGTTGAACAAAATTATTGAGATAGCATTCCACGTGGCTGCAATGAAAGGAAAAAAGCACCTATAAGAGGTAACATGTATGCTGTGTTATAGAAACCTCTCTAAAATCATTATTGATTTTCGTTTGATATAAACAGAATTTGATCAGAAAGAAGGCACCAACCAAATCTGATACCTCTACTCTATTAACATAATAATTTCAAGGAGAGAACAAAAGCTTTCAGAATATAGCAAAACTTAACAACAGCTGTAGACAGATAGTATACAAGCATGTAATATGCATGCATAGTAATATAATTCAGCAAACCAAAGCAGTAATATTAACCCAGGAATAATCTGATTTGCCTCTACACTGTTTCTGTGATTGAGAAAACAAAATGGTTCATAAGCATGTCAGCATAAAGATCAGGCCAGTTAACTTATTTTTAATGTCATAGAAGTTGCATTCAGAGAAGGATTCAGAATTGTGCCAAGTGGCAAATTGCATTGTCTTCATTAACAGGTTTGATGTCATGGCCAAGTCTTGACTGTGTTCCAGAAACCCGATAGACTATTTTTATAATTCTGTGTGGACATGAATGAGTTAATCAGAGAATAAGTTGCCAAGGTACAATCTTCTGCTTCTTAGCACAATATCTCAGGGCAACAGATTTTCTTGAATTTTTTTCTTCCAAGGTTACAAAGAGGGCTTTGGCCTTGAAGGATGATATCAAATAGCAGAAACCCTTTTATTCCCATGCAAACCTTTGAGATTGACTTTTATAAAAGTCGGAAATGCTGTCCAGAAAATAGAAAAGGTTAGATTAGTTAGTATTTGATTAATTAGTATTTGATTCTGAAGATCTTAAGCCTTTCCATCCCTCTGTCATTTCCTATTTGAAAGGAACAGCGGTTTATCTTTTCATTGCTTGCAAAGGGATGGAATTAAGGGGAGAGAGAGAGAGGGGTGGGTGGTGGGTGGGAGGGAGAACGCTCCTCCTCATAACCTCATTACTGTTCATTGAGTCAGTAGAAATATGACACTAATTGTTATTTTATTATATTTATTATTCTACCGATATTGCATCTTGAGATTCCTGTGAATCATTCAGATATGTATGATTGGGGCAGTCTAAGCATTGGTTAAGTAACTCATTAAATTCTGCTACTATGACCATGAAGCTTTATTCTGTCTTATTACTGAGCCTTGTAGTGTCGCTACAATTTCCTGTGACAATTTAAGGGCAGCAATTGATGGAGTGCCCTAGCTTCATTTCCCCTCTTTAACATATGGTGGGGTGAGACCTGACAAGAATAAATGGTGCCTAGATTAGAGACCTTAATCACATTTCAAGTTGCCCAAATAACAAGTTGTCAGTGCACAGACAGCTGCCCACTTGCACTATTTCTGAATTTAGGTCTGCCAGTCTTCCAGAAGATTGATAAACTTGTGTGGGAAAAAAAATATGGCACCTGGTAGGATGATGGGGTAGAGGAGAAGCTTGGCTGAAATAGAAAGGAGTTCCCAGAGGTGATCAAAGTTCTCTCCCATTTCATCTTGGGTCCATTTAGTGCTGACTTCCAGCAAAGATGATCATGGAAACAGATCCTATCACAGTACTACAATGACTGGGTTTTTACAGAAACAGTTCTGGACATTTAACACTGAAGATGTCAGTAAGATTGTGCTAAAAAAAAACCATGCAGGATACAAAGGCAGACTCATTTATTAATGAAGCGCTTTGCAACACTTTAAAGCACATTCCTCTTATATAGGCATTATTTCATGATTGCTGAGGTAAAAAGATTCAATAAACTGAATATTATCCATGGTCTTCAATTAACCTCTGGAAATGCCTAGGAGCACAACCTGGCCTCCAGTGTTTCCAAAAGGCCTTCAATATGGTCCTTCAATATGGTCATTGGCAAAAGACTGTGAGAGGTACAGTCCAAAAATATGAAGAGCATCCATTTGCTTTTCCCTGACTTACCTGATAACTCTTTTTTTATGTTAGTAATAACCTCATGGACTTTTCTCCCCTCCATAGGTATGGAATTGCAGGGAGTGTGAATGTGACTGGGGACGAGCAGAAAAAACTGGATATGTTGTCCAATTCTCTGGTTATCAACATGCTCCAGTCATCCTACAGCACTTGCGTCCTGGTCTCTGAAGAGAATAAAGAAGCAATAATCACTCCAAAAGAAAAGAGGGTCAGTATATGGTCTAATTCAGTGGAAAAAGAGTGGTCCCTCATTTAGCAGCAGAGGGCGCAATTGAGTCATGGAAGGAAAAAGATTTTTCCAAGCTCTATAGTTGAAAATGTCTGAGGGCAGACAATCCACCATTCCAGAACTGAATGTTACTTCCACATGCAACAAATAATACTGCCCCCGAGCTTCCAAAATTGAATTAAGACTGAACTGCCTTAAACTGAGAAAAAACTTAGTCTGAAAGAAAAACTTTCTCTTGCCCAAATTGAAATTAAGTGGAGGACAGCTTCCAAACATCAGGGGAAGCGGAGATGCTAACACAAAGCTAAGTTGCCTATATCAGGGGTCTCCAACCTTGGCAAGTTTAAGCCTGGAAGACTTCAACTCCCAGAATTCCCCAGCCAGCTTTGCTGGTTGGGGAATTCTGGGAGTTGAAGTCC